TGACAACACCAAGTCAAGGGTTAAGATCCCCTTACCAGTCAACTTTAAAAAAAAAAAAAAAGATTGCCATGGGAAGAGACCATGGGAAATAATGGTCTTCTGGATAGCATAGATTCCTAGGTGCAGTCACCCTAGCCTAGATGGTAAGATGCATAGAAACCAGACAGAAAAGACCTTCCTTCTACAGTAACCGGGATGCTTGAGAGAGCTCTCAATAAGACAATGATAAAAATAAAGGTAAATATCAGAAGTAATATCTAGAGAAAAGCAAATACTTTATCACTGTGTTCATTCAAGATGGTCTCAGTAAATAATCATAGTTGGAAAATCCTTACCTCTCATACATCTTCTCGTCTGCAAAAAGGAGATTCATTACACCCATCTCTTAGCCTTACTGTGAAAGTTACATTAAACAAGATCAAGGTGAAACAGGACAAATGCAATGCCTGGCACACAGCAAGCACTCAGCAGAGGGTGCCTACTGATATTTCCCAACTCTACTTTCCTCCGGCTCTGACCAATCAGGCCCCTTTAATGCACATGGACAATTGTGTCTATGTTCACATATAGAGAACTCTCAAGAGTAGAATGGGACTCTCCATGGCATGATAATGTCAGCACATGATTGCACAGCAAGGTCCCTGCTCTCAAGATGTTTAAATGATAGAAGGACCTGACAGGTAAACATATACCCGCTCAAATATACAAAATAGATTACTGAGACTGTCATTAGGTAAAGGGCCACAAAGAGTTTCACTTTAAGAGAACCATATAGATAAGATCATCTTTCTTCCCATTGCTGTCTAAGATGCTTCAGGAAAGAACACTGAAAACTGATACAGAACTCAAATGTAAAAAGGCCACCACATAGCTCAGAGTTAATTACAAGTAATTTTAACAAAACAATTTGTTCCCTCAGGTCTCCATGTTCTTTCTAGAGGTGTAATGCAATATACCGAAAACGCACACACTTATAAATTTTTAATAAACACAGCCCTGCAGCTCACCTAGACCATAGTTCTTGGCTGCTGCTTAGCCACAGGTGTCACATTCTCGGTTGCCAGTGAGCACAGGGGTGTAATTTCACTTCTAAATCAAGAAGCATAATCGATAGAACCAGAACCATCCAGTAGGTACTCGCACCATTCCTGACTCATCATGGAGCTGTTTACACAGAGAACAAAATCCACATCGGTTTGTCCTTGAGTAAATACGAGTATACAGTAGCGGGATCCGGATTGCAAATCAGGTGCGTGTGGCTCCCGGTGTTGCCAAAGCCCTGGTCCTCTCTGGCCTTCCTCACGGGACAGATCTGGTGTGAGTCTGGGCAGGGCACCAGGAACTCGTCGCAGCTACCCGGGGAGGGAGCCTTGACCTCCTGCCCCTCTGGCTACCACTGCTGTCGCCGGCCACGCGCGCTGAGCGAGCGCATGCGGCCGAGTCGCCCGGGGGACGGATGGCTGCCTTCTCGACACCCCCCGCCCCGGAGCCGCCAGCCTGGGCCGCGGCGGCGCGCCCTGCTCACCGTGACTCCGTACTTGAGCGCGATGCCCTGCAGCGTGTCGCCGGCGCGGACGCGGTGCTCCACATGGCGCTCGATGACGCCGGCGCCCAGCGGCGCCCGCACGCTGGCCGTGCTGCCGTACGAGCGGGTTTTGGTGCGGGCCAGGCTCAGCGACAGCTCGGCCTCCTCGGACTCGGAGCCGGAGCGCGAGCGCGGC